TTTGTTAGTATAGGGCCATCTGCAGAAAGTAGCTGTGTTGTTGTGGCCGAGTGGTTAAGGCGATGGACTAGAAATCCATTGGGGTTTCCCCGCGTAGGTTCGAACCCTACCATCAACGCTGGAACTAAACTCAAACGTGTGCCTTGAGCAACAAAAAAGGAAGGTTTTCGGTTTCAAATGTTAACTCTTTCTTTAAACATCATGGCAATAGCGTACAAGTACCCTAAAGCGCCATTGTAAATGTTTCATGTCATTTTTTCAATGTTCTTTAAAATATATAATGCTACAACATGCTTTTAAACATGCAAATTGAGCATGTTTTCATTCCTGGGTCAATATGTATTCCATGAAAATATGCTGCTTGTGACTACTTGTCATTCTTTCATCTTTTCCTTTCTATATTTGAGGGTAAAGTTGTGTCCACATACTTAGATCTCCACTTCGCTCACGTGGTTGTTGTGGCCGAGTGGTTAAGGCGATGGACTTGAAATCCATTGGGGTTTCCCCGCGTAGGTTCGAGCCCTACCAACAACGCAGGAACTTTGCAACGCTATGTTTCCAATGCAAATAAGCCGAAGTGTGGCTTTTCAAATGCAATGTCAATTTTAAACAGAATGGCAATAATGTACATGTGTTCTACAGTAAGTCCTTGCAAAAGTTTCATATCAATATTTCAACTTTCCTACAAAGTATCATGCTACAACATGCTTTGAAAAAATACAAATTGAACATGTTGCCTTTCCTTGCTCAATATGTATTCAGTGAAAACATATAGTTATGACAATTTGTTCTTTTCCTTTGCATTTTTAGGCTAAAGTTGTGTCAGCATACTTGGAATTCCATATACCTAGAGTGGTTGTTGTGGCCGAGTGGTTAAGGCGATGGACTAGAAATCCATTGGGGTCTCCCCGCGAAGGTTCGAATCCTTCCAGCAACGATCGAAGTTTTTTTATTTTACTTGACAGCAGTGGCAAAAAAAATGCTCCATTGTCCTCGCTCATGTAAAAACAATGCAGGGTACCTTTACTGATGCATGCTCAAGAATCCACATAGAAAAATCTAACAAAGGTAAGTCAGGTCCTCTGAACACATGCAAAAAGAAGCAAAACAAATACATAAATAAATTGTTGAAACTTTTCATCTTGTATCCAAAAGACTTTGTCAGTCTGAGGAGCTGTATTAAACTCAGTCTTATAAGTAGCGACTTCTCAATCAACCAGTTTGTTGTTCACATTTACTACTAGCTGTTCACATGATAAAGGAGGACCATTAGCCTAGCAGTTGGTCCTTAATGCCCTGATGGCCACGTCCTATTCACAGGGGGCTGAGTAATACTAGTAATAGCATTGTAAGAGGGGTGCAGTTGAACATGGAGGCCTCCGCCCATGTTTAATGATGGACAGTTACTTTTCACAAAGATGGCTTCCTTTACTCCTATCTCAAACCAAAGTTCCTCTCTATCAAGGATGTGCACATCTTCATCCCTGAATGAGTGACAGTTGGCTTGCAGATGAGTATAAACCGCAGAGTCTTGGCCTGATGATGTTGCTCTTCTGTGCTGGGCCATCCTTTTGGCCAGTGGCTGTTTATTTTTTCTTGAAGTACAACTGATCGCATCCCTCCTGGCACTGAACAGCATACGCAATATGACTCTGTGTCGGGGGACTGGATCGTTGGAATGGACCAGCTGTTGCCGTAATGTAGTTTGGGGATTGAAAGCCACTTGGACGTCATCTTTAGAAAATAAAAGTCTCAGTTTCTCTGAAACTCCTGCAACATAAAAAATGACCACTGGTCTAGGTCTGGGTTATCAGCAGGGCAATGCAGGGCACTTTTGTTCTAGTGCTGGAATGTACCTCGTCGTCTCGATCAATTAAGAAAAATCTTGTACAGTGATGGCAAACGAACCAGCAACTTTTTAAAACCTAGGATACCTTAAATTTAAACTTCATTTGGGTGATAAATGAGAACTGCCATTTCTGTTTTTAATATACACGTTTTGTTGTCCATCAACAGGATTACGAAAAATGAATGTGCTTGTACCACAGTGTTTGTGCTTTGTTTTAGGAAACGTAGGTAGATCGATGAATCCTATATTGTTGAGAAATCAAATTTCATGCATATCCAGAAAAGTCTTTGATTGATTTGACGCAATAAGTCTTCCAAAAATGAACAGGCATTTACTGTTGCTACGTTAGAGAAGTTTCAGACTTTGCTTGTTTGTCAAACGTGTGAAATAAGATCTTTTGTTTTTGCATTAAAGTCTATATCCTTGTTTATTCATATATTCTTTTCTGAAATTAGGAGCAATGCTAATAAACTGTTTGTTAGTATAGGGCCATCTGCAGAAAGTAGCTGTGTTGTTGTGGC